TTTAAGCGATTTCCACACAACCTGGTCTCTTAATACTGACAGACACTAAACAATCATCCTCCATTTTCAGACTGTGTTAGAGTGACCACAAGAGGACAAAAGCCTGTATTATTATTGTAATCATGTTGCAGAAACATTTGTCATTTTATTCACCTAATCAAGAAGCTTTACGTCATCGTCTGGCCGTCAGAAAGTTTACTATTTCTGTTTTACCTGAGGTAAGATTACTGAAATTATTTGCATTTGATGAATGACAAAATTATCCATCCATTTTCTGAACACCATTGTCCCTCATGGGGTCGGGAGGGGAGCTGGTGTATGTCTCCAGTGAACGATTCGGGCGAGAGGTGAGTAACAAAATATGAGATTTTAAAAAAAAAAATTCAAATGTTTATGTAAATTTCATTAATATTTAATAGAGTTGTCTTTCAGGCTTCATAACTCAGGTCAAACATTTCAAATGTCTCTCACAAGCTTTAACTTCCTGGCTGACTTTGTGAGATTTCTCCTCAATATTCCAACAACGTTTTACTCACTGTTGCACCTAGTTTGAGAAGTTAATCAGTGACTATACGTGCAGCAGCGACTTTGTGGTCAAACATTTTTGTTTTGGTTACATCAAACCACAGGAAGAGTCTGCAGAAAAGAAAGTTTATTTAGAATGAGTCCAAAATGTCTTCATAGACATTTTGGACTCATCCTGTCTGAGTGGCCGTTCAATCCAAATCGATAAACGACTTTATTTCGATTGTTTTGTTCTGTGGTCAATATGCACATTTTGGACAGTGTGTTTAATAGATATTCCCAATTTGTATAAACTTGCATATTCTTTTCTGAACAGAAGAATACAGCGTCTAGAAACTGGACCCGATGGCGGACCAGACTTGTAGAGGTCCACCGTTCTCTTGTTGGCAGATTTATTTTGAGTTTTCCATGATGTCACACAAGGAGGTAGATTTTAAGGCAGTATGTAAGTGCTGCCCTATAAACTGGATTAACTTAAATGATTTGAATTATCAGGTCAGGTACTTACATGGGTACCTGAGATTATCAAACTGATTTAAAACCAAAGTAGTCTTAATGTATGTAAACTTCTGGTTTTGAGGAAAGTAATCAAAATTTTTATTATGCCTCTGAATAAAGATTTTTTTTAAATTAAATTAAAATGTAAAAGTTTAGTTTGGTTTAATGTTGGAATGAAAAGTTACGAGTGCATTTGGACCTGCAAATGTCAATTTTGAAATTAAAATGAAAAGCAATTAAATAATAATATAAATCAATCTAAACTATTTACAGCTCTGGAAAAAAAAGAGACGACTTAAAATGATCACTTTCTCTGATGGTACTCTTTCTAGGTAAATGTTTGAGTAAAATGAACATTGTTCTTTTATTCTATGAAGTACTGACAACATGTCTCTGAAACTACAAGCAAAACTTCAGTTCATATTTGAAAAAAATGAGAAATGGTCAAAATATGGAAAAAGATGCAGCGCTTTCAGACATCAAATAATGCAAAGAAAACAAGTCCATATCCATTTAGAAACAGCAGTGCTAATGTTTTAATCAGGAAGAGTTCAGAGATCAATAACCAGAAAGTTTTCAACGGGGCTCAGAGCAGTGGCCTCTTCATTTTTACCAGTTATAAAAAAAATCTATTTGTCCAAATGCTTTACCATTTTTAAAAACTGCTAAGTGTAAAAGCAGGTAAAGTTGTTGCTCGGTGTCCCATTGTGTGTGAAGGACTGTCGTGTTCAATGGGGTTCGATTCCCGTTCTCGAGCCAATGCATGTCTGTACTTTCTCTTTCCTGTCAGATTATCGTTCAATAGAGACCACCTTTGCTGAAGAAAACAGTCTTCAGAGAAAGCAACATGTTCCTGCCGTTGCTCCAGCTTGTCATTTCTTTCCCTTATTCAGCTCTTCTTGAACCTTTCTTTGCGTTTTAACAATCAACATTTGTCTAAACAAAACCGAATTATTGTTCATGATGACATTAAGCAACAACGAACAGGTCATTAGAAATGAACTCAGCGATATGTAGAAACCTTGACGAATGAACGTGTCAAAAGAGCTCCAACGCTGCTCCAACTCCCAGTAGCTAATTACTTGCTTTCTTTTGCCCTGGAGCTCTGCCAGGTGGTAAATCCTCGGCTTCCCCTCCACCTTTAGTTAACTTAGCTGCTTCAGCTCCGTCGTCTCCACATCGACTCATTTCCTGAGGGAGACCCGTAGGCGCTGTCGCTACTATTAAACTCATTTGACTTAAAATGACTCCATCTGGTGTAAAAAATACATCCACCAACATTATCGACAGTGATTATTGGGAGTGAAATGTAATCAGTGCAAGATCAATTATGCAACTTGTTAGCAGTTTTGTCAGTTTCTAGTTGTTAGTTGGCGTCATGCAAATTATTTTTCTCATAACAGTTTCAAACTATTTAAGCGTTGGGAGCAGCTTGTGCATCAAAATGAGAAAGTTTTTCATGAGTAAAATTAAAGCTGTAACTTTTGTAACAGCTTCTTTTAAATATTTTATAAAACTATCATTTTGCCAGATATAAGACAGATAATATTTGAAAAGACTGGAGCTCCTTTGCCTTGTCCCAATGCGCCCAGTACTGACTGAAGAAATACACCAGAAAGAGGGTGTCAGTATCGTCAATAATGCTCGTGTATACGCCACTCACATCCTCCGCCTCGCTCTTTGCAAGGCTACAGCTGGCTCAACACAATGGAGCCTGGCCCGAAGTTAGCATGGCCACCGACGACACCGGATAAATAGTTTTCCTGTAACTACATTAGCATTTGATCAGCACCTACATGAGCTTAATTGACATCGCTAAGACACTTCTCCTGATTGGTTGTTTTTTGGCTGCATTTTTGCAGCGCTGGGAGGAGGTGGAGGAGCCTGATTATTTTTTCTCACAGGTTATGTGTCTCATATCATGACATGGTAACGGTTTAAAACACACATGAAAAAAACATGTTCACACTGCAGCTTTAAGCTAAAACATTTCTTCATGTACACCAAACCGGAGCCCTTCGTCTCTCCACAATAAAACCATCCTCTCTTAGATTTCATCCAACGGCAAACTCCTCTGAAACTATAAAATATCTATAAACTAACATAGAACTGTACAGTTGCATCACATTAATGTCTATACTTTTGGCTTCTTGTTGGTGACCCCAACCTGAAGCCGTCTGCAGGAAGGACGTGTCAGGTTAGCGTAGCACGTCTGTTTGCGCAAGACTTCCAGCGCGCAGGACAGACTGGGTTGAACTATGTCCAATCAGCTCTCAAGCGTCATGCTTGGGCACCCTACGATCACACCTCTCCTACACACACACACACACACACACCCCTCAACACACACACACACCACCCTACACCAAAATATATTCACATTTGGTCATACCACCTTTGGAATTAACATGCAACTCAGCAGACACAGACTTCATGTAGGTAGGCAGGAATTATCTAAGCGACCACTTCATCTGCATGCTGATATACGTAGATGAAATAATAATAGTCATAAAAAAACTCAGCTTACACTAATACTCCTCGCTCAATTAACAAGCCAAACAACAGTAAGGAAGTGGGAACATCACATCTCCTCCCACGCAGGCAGGATGGCACTTGGGTTTTAAAGTTATGTAATAGTCCACTGGTATGAGATTACATTTGTTTTGCCCTCAGAGGGGAGGTAAGTGATCATGAGCCTGTGAAATAACAGGTCTGAGTGGATAATTGATCGCTGGCCTTCCTCGTGAAGGGGCAGCTTGGCTAAAGGAAAGTGGATAATTGGCTCTGAAGATGGAAAATATTCCCCCAAAGCTGTAGGATTTGATTAGCAACATCTTTATATAAATATATATATAAAATTCGCTTCTCACCCACCGCGGGTGGTTCTTATCCTCTGAGCTCGGGTCCTCTACCAGAGGCCTGGGAGCTTGAGGGTCCTGCAGTATCTTGCTGTGCCAAGGACTGCACATTTCTGGACTGAGATGTCTGATGTTGTTCCTGGGATCTGTTGGAGCCACTGCTCCAGTTTGGGGTTACTGCCCCGAGGGCCCCGATGACCACAGGCACCACTGTGGTCTTCACCTTCCAGGCCCTCTCCAGTTCCTCCCTGAGGCCCTGGTATTTCTCCAGTTTCTCTTGCTCCTTTTTCCTGATGTTGCAATCACTTGGTATTGCTACATCTACCACAATGGCTTTCCTCTGATGTTTATCCACTACGACAATGTCTGGTTGGTTCGCCATTCTGTCTGTCTGGATCTGGAAGTCCCACAGGATCTTAGCTCTGGTGTTCTCTACCACCTTTGGGGGTGTTTCCCACTTTGATCTCGGGGTTTCCAGTCCATATTCTGCACAGATGTTTCTGTACACTATGCCTGCCACTTGGTTATGTCGCTCCATGTACGCTTTCCCTGCCAGTATCTTGCACCTTGCTGTGATATATATATATATATATATATATATATATATATATATATATATATATATATATATATATATATATATATATATATATATATATATATATATATTCACTTTATTGAAAGAACGGAGAAAGAAAAAAAGCTGTGTGATTCATGATGGAGATCATAAATTAGCTAATTGGCAAATTATGTAATAGGAGTGCCATTACGCAGGAATCCAGCTGAAACTGCATTGTTTACGAAGACGCCCCCCGCTGACCGGAAACTACGTTAAACAACAACAACAACAACAGCATCGGACGCCGACGCGCTTTGAACTTGAGAAGAGAAAAGGGACCCTAAAGGGGAGGAGGAAAAAACACACACACAAAAAAAAAAAGAAAAAAAAAGAACCTGAAAAACGCGCACCGTGCGGCATGTGCCAAACTCTCCACAAACTCATTTTTGGATGCTTGTTTTTCTCACTTCTAATCTGGGCAGACAGCCGCACGAGAAAGACAAAAAAAAAATAAAGAAAAGAAAAAGAGTCCAAATCCTGCCTCCCGAGCCTCTTCTTACCTTGTATCTGAAGGTGGGAACAGGTGGCGCTGGAAGCTTTTCTGCTGGCTCGTCTCAAGCCGTCCGACGAAAACGCGGCGCCGAGCCTCCGAGTCCGAGCACCATGCTGCGGGAGAGGAGAGGGAGAAAATGCGCGCAACGCCGGTGACAAGGCGGAGGAGCGCAGATTTTTTAAATTCTATCTGAGCATCTGAAGTGATACACAGTCACAGCAGAGACACTGTGTGTGTGTGTGTGTGCGTGCGTGCGTGCGTGCGTGCGTATGTGTGTGTGTGTGTGTGTGTGTGTGTGTGCGCGCCCTCTCCCGCCTCCATGACTGACAAAAACCGTAAACCAATCGCATTTACATTATGGCATTATTACACGAAAATGTTAAAAAAAAATTTATTTTATTTTTTTCATACGGTGAAGAGGGCGTCACCCGTTTATGTAAACACAGGACAAATTAAAACAACAGACAGTAAAGCTTATTGTCTTAATGAATGCGAGTATTTTAGAATCAGACGTGGTTTTCGATTCCCAACTGTGTAACACAATCATGACAAATACTTTTTGTTAATTGTAGAAGTCAATCAAAGAGACACCAACGTCACATCTTTAGTTGGGATGTTTGTGGGGCTCCTTTTGAAAACTTGAACGTTACTGTATGCGTCACCGAACCGGATGTGGATTTTGACGCACGGTGTGTGTGTGTGTGTGTGTGTGTGTGTGTGTGTGTGTGTGTGTGTGTGTGTGTGTGTGTGTGTGCCATTTGTGGATAACTGCACCATGCGGCCATCATTCACGTTTCAGGTGACAGCGTCTATGCGTGATTCCAGGTATGGCCGCTCGATGGCGCCAAAGGCAAGGTTTACAGTCACAGTCACCCAAGATCCTCGCAGGCAGGATTTGTTTGGACGTTGGTGGGTAATTACAATGTGCTCTTTGGAGGGAGACAGTTTAAAAAAAAACAAAAAACTGCATTTATTAACAAACCAACAAAACTTATTAAACATTAGCATTGATAACAATCAATCACTAAATATAATATGTGCCGTTTAAAGTTTTATTGGAGTTGGAATAATTTGTGCCAAATGTCCTTTATTTAATTGTGTGATCTCCAGTGCACTTATGTTAGCTTTACAACGATGTTATTTTCAGTCATGATTATTATATAACCGAGAAAAAAGGAAACCTGCTGATGTGTCAAACCCTCGTATTGTATCTCAAGGTAAAAACTCTTTAAAGTTAGTTTTTGTCATCTGAAGAATTAAAGTTGTAAGAGTGGATTTTGAACGCATAACGTTGTTTTACTCCAGAGACTTTTGAATCCACTAAACACGTGTTTGGGTTCTGAATCTGAATTTAATTGCATTTAACTAAAACTTGAATTGTTCTTGTTTGTGCAGAGTCTTTCTTCCGAGACCCGATATTCACAAAATCTGTGAAAAGAAACATTTTCTTTCTGACTGACGCAAATTAAAGAGAAACATTTCTGCTTTTAGGTCAGTTAATGCCAAACATTTCATCTATATTTGCTGATATTGATCTTGTGTTGGTCACATTATGTATCACTAACGAGTCACATCAGTTTTGTCAATTTTCTTTTCTTTTGTTTGTTTGTTTATGCCGATGCCACTTTGACCTTTATATCTGCCTCCGTCCCCAAAAATGACACCTAAAGCTGAAATTTTAATATTTTCCTTCAATACTGTAAGGAAATTTTCCTTCAACTCATGTCAACAATGACTTTAAATGTGAGTGGTTGAATATATTTGTCTTTTTGTATGACCAGTGTAAGCAGATAACTCTTTGCCATATGCTGTAATTGATTCAACCCGCTTATTTTTAGTATAAAAAAAACCCCCAAACAAAACATAAAAACCAAAACAAGCACAAGTTACCCATCTGCTCTCCTAGATGTCTCCACTAGCTGTGTGAGCTTCCCCTGAACTCAATCTGACCAAAAGAAGAATCTGCATCATCGCAAGGTCAGGATGTGTGATAAGTATCTTCTTCGTCTTCTTTTCTTTTTTTTTCTAAATGTCCTATTTTCTCGAGCTGCGGTCTGCTGAACGCCCTCAGGGGAAAAGCTGTGCTTCAGATGTTGTGCGTCTCGGAGAGTTTCCTCGCCTTGACAGGAAGGCCTCGTCTCCGCAGCAGCCCTCACGTGTCACATCTCTGCGGGCCGGTGCCTCCGTCCGATGTGCAGCCAACTTCAAACCGGCAGCGCTGATTAGTTGGAATAGCACACGCTGTGTCTCTTTTTCTATTTTGTTTTTGTAATTTTTTTCCCACCACCTTCCTTGTTGCTGTGCCTCCCCAGTTTCTGCTTGGGGAGGCGAGGAGAGGACAGGTAGCTGCATGGTGCACAGCACAGAGCAGTTGTGGTTCTGTGTTACTGTCCTCAGGAAATATTGCATCTGACTGAGCACTCATCCATTTTTTAACTTCCACCCACATGCTGAGCGTTGGAAAGTTTCAGCATGGAGATCTCTCATTTTGTGCTGCAATATATCCCTCTGCAATCAGCACACATGGAGGCCTGTCGTGATGACAAATCTTGTTGTTTTGAGGTCATTTTCAAGTAGTGTAGCGGTAATGGCTTGATTATGCACATTGTCAAAGGAACCCAGAAAGACACAAATCACAAACCAAGCACATGTGGCAAGAACCAGAGGGGAAGACATGTTTCTGTCCGGGTTCTCCTCTGTCAGCCCCGCATCTTGAGCCCTGCTCTGAAAGTGACGGCTGAATCAACCAGTGAGGAGTCCAAAGCGAACGACCGGAGAGGAAGCTGGAAGAAACATCATCATCGTTTTTAAAAAAACCCAGCACACGCTAAGTTATTCTCTTAGAGGAAAAAGAGCTGCTGGGCAGGAAAAATGGTTGAGGAGTTTGCTCTTGTTGTCAAGCTAAACGCCGAGGAAACTAAAATCAGAAGTCAGGGAGAACAACGGCAGGAAATCTCGTTCAGGTTCATTTATTCACTGACGGCGTTTGCTTATGTTGAACCGAGGAAAAAAACGCAAACTGGACACAGTGTTTACTTTCCTCCCTCAGCGCTCACAGTCATGCAGGGAGTCGTCGTGAGAACGACTTAAGATGCCTGCCGTTTAGTGTTTTTGTTGTTGTTTGTGTTTCTACGCACAGCAAAATTTGAGCTCTATAGTTTTTGTTTTAAGTTTTTTGTTATATGACATCCTTTCCCACCACTGATAGACCCCTGGGGCCACACCGTCAGAGCAGGACTCCCGTCCTCTCCCGTACGAGGCTCTTTGCCACAAACGCTCCTGTACTCATATTAATTACGTTGCTTTCAGCATTCCTGGCTGAGTCATTCTTGTGCCATAATTCTCTCTCTGCACGTAAAAAGAAAAAGGAGCTGCAACTCTGCCAAGATGTGAAGCTTTCAGTGGGCCTGAGTCTTGCTGGGCCCTTTTGACAAAACATTTCTATCGGTTTGCCTCTGCAAGCCACAATACGTCGTTTAGTTTAAGGAGGACTCTCTGTGATGATGTCATCTCCTGCCTTCTCCTTTATTTTTATAAGTTGGCACGGCCATTTTATCTCTCTCATCCAAATCTGACAGAATCCGGTGTTGCCAGGGAAGCCGAAGAATGAAACTCCAGGAGGATTATCATTTTTTTATTATTATTATTTTTTTTACAAACTTATTTTATGATTTCACCTAATGTTGACTTAAAAACATGTTGCAGTTCTCTTTCAGATCCCCAACACCGGCGAGTTGTTTAGGTTACGTCAAGCTCACGCCACTTAAGAGAAGAAGCTGAAATACTCTGAGGGAAAATGCAGTCAAGCATTCATCTATTTTTCATTTGACTCCTTTGGCTCAGATACGGAGGAAAGAAAAGTGATGCTACTCAAATCAAGCATTTTCTTACCAATGAAGTGCAATGGCTGTCTTTTTTTTTTTTTGTCAGAAAAGTGCAATATAAATGTATTTTTTCCATTTTTGGAATCAAGGTTTTCGTACTCATGTGTTATTTCTGACTCTAAATCATGTTTTTGTTCTCCATATATTCACTCAAGGTCTGGCCATAATATAAATCCAGGTTGGGTTCAATGTTTCGGCAGAGCTTTTGCTTTCCATCGGCTCCTGACGGAAATATCTTCACCCCTCATGTTCGACAGAGATTTGGATTTGGCCAGATGTTCCTGCAGCGATGATGACAGCAGCGAGACCAATCAACATCATGCAGACTGCGGGCCATGAGGCCAAAGCACTCGAGCTGAGAGGCACCGAGAGAGACCGTAAACCTGTAAATCCGCGTGATAACTGAGGATTTGTTGCTGCAATCGGCCATTTCCACACTGCATGTGACGATTATACTCATTGTTATTGTAACAGGAGCTCATTTTGCCGCTGTGAGCACCGTTAGCAGCCGGTGCAGTAATCATTTGGATCAACCGGGGTAAGAGTCTGCAACCTTTACCATTCAAAGAGCCATTTTGGCTCCCAGTCCAGCTAAATAAAACTTATTTAGAGCCTCTGGTGTTACATGGCCTTGTGACAAAAGACAATATTTAATTTTTCGATCTGTATCTACAATAGAAAGTTTGTTGTTTCTGAAGAACCACCATTTTATTTCCACTTTTTGGTTTTAACATACAGAAAAACAGAATTGTTTATTCAAAAATTAATACCGATGTCAATATTGGCAAAAGAAAAGCACATTGTTTTCAATCTAGTGATTTGAAAATTATATATTTGTTGTTGGTACTTTTAGTGTCATTCAGTTAAATTATTAAAAGAAAAAAAATTGTAAAATTTATATTTTGCAAAGTTTTCCATTTCATTATTGCAATGAAAAACACACAGCTGTCCTTTTCCACACCTGGAGAAACTCATTACATGAAGATAGATAGATAGATAGATAGATAGATAGATAGATAGATAGATAGATAGATAGATAGATAGATAGATAGATAGATAGATAGATAGATAGATAGATAGATAGATAGATAGATAGATAGATAGATAGATAGATAGATAGATAGATAGATAGATAGATAGATAGATAGATAGATAGATAGATAGATAGATAGATAGATAGATAGATAGATAGATATAGATAGATAGATAGATAGATAGATAGATAGATAGATAGATAGATAGATAGATAGATAGATAGATAGATAGATAGATAGATAGATAGATAGATAGATAGATAGATAGATAGATAGATAGATAGATAGATAGATAGATAGAT